AAGCAAAACGAATCCCTGCGCCCTCGCTTCCGGATCCACGGAAGAATTTCACAGCCGAATCGGCGAGGACCTCACGCCGAGACGGAGGCGGAAGAACTACGCGGTCGAGAGCGGGGGAACGCTGACCTGGGAACCTCCTCCAGCGAGAGACATCTCGTTCGTGCCGAGCGAAGCTCTCGAATCCTGGGGGGAGGGCGAGAGGATCCGTGGATTCGCGTCAACAAAGCCAGGCGTTTAGTGCAAGTCCCGGCTTCCAAGGGAATGGACTCGTCGCGTTTCAGGTATCCTCAGGGTAACTGCGAGGGTCGAGTTCGATCTCTCTGTGTCGACGGTTACCATTACGTTGCGGGGAGGGGGGGGAGTGTTCTGGGAGAATCAGATATCAGTCGTCTTCTGTTTTTCAGGTCGGTTTCTTTCCAGACCAGAACGAAAGATCTTCCGGTCCTCAGAGGCCAATATAACTTTGATTATAAGTTGAAAATTGACCTTCATATGGGACTCGAACTATTGTGTTTAAGCAAGGAATCGTACCAACAGTAGGGTAAGACGGCAAAACTCGACGAAAAATACTTTTTTTTACGGGGCTATTTAAAGTCCAAGGTCTATCTGACTAAACCACGAACGTTAACTGAACTGAAAAACATCGGAGACGAAATAAGCCTCATTTCTCCCAGATCTGCTTCATCTAATGATAAAACAAAGACCCATGTAGTTGGTGTCACCACCTGCAATCGATGGAAACCATGGGGGATACGAATTCAATGTGAACCAGTTTCACTGCATGCCGTCTCCAATTCAGTTTCTTACTTCAGTGAAGTAAGAAATATAAATTCCCTACAACCCTCCGTTATTGGCAACGGTCACGGTCACGGTCACTAGGAACCTCGAGTACCGCTGATAGAGTTAGGGAAGGTGGAGGGGGGGAGGGATATAGGTGGGGAAATGTGAATCCGAAAACACTAGTTGATTGGATGGTCCTCCCCCCCCCCCCTTCCCCCTTCCCCCTTCCCCCCCTCCTCCCCTCCTCCCCCCGTCTAATCTCGTTTTTGTCGAGAAGCAATCCCCTTCTGGTGGGGGTGATAAGGACATTTCAGTTGGTATTTCCCCTTTCCCCTTCTTAGTTTGGTTTGGTTTATTCGTGAGAAACTCTTGGCTTTTCATCGCACTTACGAACACAAAAGCATTTAAGAGGGGCGCGTCAGTAGGAAGTGACGAGTTCCCTTTTCCCTTAGAAGCGAAGACGACGGAAGGCAGCCGTTGCACGGCGAAGTTCAATCGCTCTTTGGGGATTTCCGTGGGTCCTGCGACGTCGGGACTCGTTTGTTTCGTGCGTCCCATTTTCCGAGTGGACCTCGAGTTCTTGGCCCGTTTTTTGCCCGGATCGCTGGTTCCGTCGTGGAACCGACGTCACGTCCCCCTTCGATGATCGACGTTGACCCATTTTACGACGGGCCTTCGACGCGAAGTCGATCGAACCTCAAATGAGCGTTTGAGTAGAGGTGAAGGCGGGCCCGAAGGTCGCTCCGCTGTTCCCGCGGTGCCTCGTTCCGCGACCGCATCCGTGGATTGCACGGGCCCCACCCCTCGTCACCGATTCCTACTCGTGCTGTACAGCATGCTGAATGCTATGATTGAAATTCCTAACCAGCACGTCCGACTGTAAGTCGGTAATCCTGAGAACCCGAAAAGAAACTGCTGTACCGGATGCAGCATACCGTCCGGCAAAAGGTATCTGCTGTACGGTTCGCTCGCTTCGATGGAAACGACTCCAATTTTTGAGATTGCAGTGGCGCATGCAGGACCCTGCAGTACAAAAGATTCTGCATCCGCTCTAAGCAACGTGAATCTTTTCTGTCCGTAAAATGCATCCAGCATCTTGCACAACATCGGCCTCGAACGTGTGGCCGAAAGTCACACCTGGAGATTGTTTTCTAGCTGGAATTCGAACCTCTGAGAAGCGATGATACGAGCGTGAGTCGGTTATGGGCGATGATGTCGAAAAAGTTGAAGTAAAATTTCAAAGTTCGATCGAATATGTGACATTTTGAGAGTGAACTAACGAGTTTTTTTCTCGTACTCACCTCTTGGTTTCATCACGGATGATTTCACATTTTCCGATTTTCCGATGACTTTTTGGAACATGAATCCACCCGCCCGTCCGTCCGAAAGACGGAGGGGAATCCGCCGTTTTCGCTTCGGTGCGCGACGGGAAAAAATTGGAGAAAAGCATGAGAAAACAAAGGAGAATCCCCGAGAAATCCCCGTTTGGTTCCTCCGTACAAGATCGTCACCTCGTGTTGCGTCATCGCGCATTCACGCGCGGGGATGAAACGGGAAAGGATGAAAGAAAGGCCAGCGGATGAGGAACGGCTGCTGGATGACAGGATTCCCTTCCGCGCCTCTCCCGCATTCCGCGCCTCTCTCATCACGAGCCTTCCAAGAGTTGAATATTCATGAGTTCATTTCCGCTTGGCACGATGTCAGATGCGGCTCATAACGAAACAACTCGGTGCCGTTGTGGAAAACGAAGCCCCAAGATAAGAACGAGCGATTAACTCTCAACAGCGTGCGAGACGAGCTTGGTTTTTTTCTCCGGAGAATACCAAGACGGGCGAGGAAATGTGAAAATTCCAACGTCGAGGCACGAGAATGCGAGATTCCGAGCTGGAAGCAGCCGACCGAAAACGTGGAAAATCCCTTTCGGAAGCATCGAGTTCCCCCGAATCGAGTCGGAAGGATGCGGCACGAAGCCGCAAGGCGATAACAGAAATTGTTATATTCTTTCCCCAAACCATCTGGAAAATGACCGAAATCCGGAGAAAGAGAGAGAGAGAGAGAGAGAGAGGAGACACAGCGGAAATGGTAGCCCATTACCCACCCACTGGGGGCCACAAACTCATTCATACACAGCCGATAGGGGGAAAAAAAAAGTGAGTGGATATAGAAAGGAATGATGAATGAGCGGGTTTTTGGCCTCCGTCGAGGGCATCACTCTCCGACTTTAATGGCTTCCTTCTCCCCTCGGGAAAAAAATAAAAACTTAAAATGTCGCTTCTCTTCCCTTTCGACGTTAAAACTCTAAGGGGGAATCTCTCGCGGATATTTTGTCGCAGAGAATCCCAGAAGGCACGAGAGTGGAAGCCATCGATCCGCCTTTTCCAGTCTCATTTACCTCCGAGGAACCATAATAGCCTCGGACATGGCCTCTTTAGTTTTTTTTTTCTCGATTTTTTTTTTTCCGGCAGAGCCCGACTGCGGTCGAAGAAAAAATAGGGAAACCCATCGTCTAACCTTAACCGATAGATTGGAGGTCGTCGACGTTCCGACGAGTGACCTTCAAGGGTATCGGGGTTGAACGGTTCACTTTCGTCACTTGGACCATTTTCTCGTGAAAGTCACGAGTCGGACGAATCCGCGTTTCCGAGAGCGACAATGCATTTCGTGGCGATTGCTAGGAAACGGGAGACGGTTCGAGGGAAGAGATGGACGAAATGGTCCCAAGTCGACCACGGAGCATCAGACAGGACCAGATGGGAACGGTGAGTGGTTCGATCCTCGAATCGGCTGGAGTTGAAGCGCTGAGCGTGAGTGACCAAGTGATGAGGTTCTTCTCGGGTGAACGGGTCAGCTTTTCCACGGCTGACCTGCATCCTATTCGGTACAGGACATGGATCTATTTCATCGTTTCGTAGCTCGGTGGATCGACCGTTTTCAATGCCACTCGGCCATCTCCTCCATCTCTGCAGGATTACGTGTTGTCAGCTGTTATCCAGCATTCACTCACTTAGCCGGTATGACTTGTAACTGACGGGTGCGAGATAATCCGATGTAATGGGCTAGAGACCGGACCCAAGTCCTGGTGGAGGCGGTAAGGAGGCATCTGGAATACCAGATTGGCTGACACAGTCCAGAGTGGGGGATTTGGTTTCGGCAAGTAGACCATACAGCAATGAGATGTGCCGCTTGGGAAGAGATGGCAAAATGGCGAAAACTTTGGGTTGAGTTTACACACTACTTTCTACTTCTTAACCCTGTAATTACCGTTCTGGATCCAATGGACCTTGATACAAAAATGTAGCCATTTGTGCAGTGTGCGTAGTGAACTTGAAAAGTTCGACACACTGTGTATCTCCATGAAAACGTGTGATGGTAATGAGGCTACGTATTTCGAAGAGATTCTTTGGGAATGAAGAGATGAAACAAAGAGTTAAACAGGTCACCATCCGCGTTCTGGTAGTTACAAGGTTATTTGAAGTTATCATAGACAACACGGTTGCATCTAGGGTGCATCGAGAACTTGTCTTTGGATGGTTCATCTTTGTTGTCTGCCATGGATAATTATAATTATAATAAGTATAATGGAAAATAACGAATCCGATTCGACTCGATCCTAAGTCGCTGTACTTGACGCTCACCTAAAGGCAATGAGGGGTGCATTTTTTCCCCACTCTCTTCTTGACAACGTTATTTTTCCAGGCCTCACCGATTTATAAAATGCAGAAAATGAAGATAAACGATTTAAATGAATAAAAAAATCTATGAATTGTTCTGGTGAATTGCTTCTTGTCTGGTTGGCACACTTGTATACATCACTTTCCCACCCCAAGTGAAAAATGGTTCACACTGGATTAGAGGATGTGCGCTAGAGATCGGATTCCGACATTTCTTCTTTCCATTATATGAACTGAACATGGATCTTTTACTTTACATTACCAGCTGCTTCCACACCTTCAGAATTTTTTTCTTTAAACATTGTTCCAACAACAGATGTAGAATATCTTCAGATAATAAAGAACAATTTTTTTTTTAAATTTATGCTGATACCAAACTGAGGACTTCCTCGTCAGCGGTTCATGACGACTGTCTTCCCGAAGCTGGAACATTATAAATGTTCTTGGACTTCCATTGAAACCAAAACTGGACAAGAGTTTATCCAATTTGTGGCATGCGAGTTACTTTCGGTCTAGGTGAACCTTGAATTTCCACTTGAAAGGATTGACTCTGTTCATCCCACAAGAAGAAACTTTATTTGTATCGAGTCGGTGGATTCTTTCAAATTATCAGGCAAAACAGTGTCACAGAAGGCATGCATATGTTTCATATTGTATTGGAATGCATCATGAGCATGCGATTGCAGTCACCCCATTTCCATTTTTCATGGCTAAAAAAACGAACTTGATCATCTTGGACAGAGGTATTGCAATCAGTAAGTAGATGGTTAAGTGCTTGCTTCAAAAGACATCATCTAAGCAAATCATTCAGCTATTTTTCTTCCCTCTTCATGCCAAAATACACAAGAAAAAATAAAAGACTTCACAAAACAGAAAATGAAAGCCCAAATGGTGCAGGATAAACTCTTAGGCAATGGGGTCTCAATAAGTTATGATTTTGGAGATGAAAGCCAGAAACACTCAAAATATGCCCCCTTCTGCTTGGTCACAATTTCTCTCTTGTGCATGAGGGCCTGTTATTCATGTCTTGGGTGTAGTAAATGTATTTGGGAAAAGCAGGAATCACAGGAAGAAACTGTATATGTGTTCAGGTCTGGATGAACTTGGAACGCTCATCTGTACTTTTGTCCCCTTCTCCAGTGTTGTCCTCTTCCTCATCATCATCACAGTCGAGGCCAGCCAAGTGCAATGGCTGCAGATCCTGTGGCAGGCGGTCGTATTGCACCTGTCGCCGTCCCTGTTACATCAATCAATCAATTAAATATGTAACACTTCCAGCAATTGGCAAAAATAAGTTCATTACACATTTCCAAACACAGGTTAAACAGAGGAAGAAAACCTCTTGTGTGTTCTCACTGATTTAGTACTATCAGATACATGGACAACTATAGCTGTATAGTCCCACAGATGGCTCACAAGGATGACAGCTACAGCTGTATAGTCCTACCAATGTATTAAGACTAAAACAGGTGATTTTGTTTGGACCAACAGTTCGTCCAGATTATCAAAAATTTAAATGGTTCATTTTCCTTTTTATGAGGCAAAGAAAACTGCATCCTCAATGTATTGCCAAATGCCTTCTTTTACAAGGTCTTTCCCCCCCATGAGAATGAGAATCACAACTGACAGTCCTTTCAACCAATTGCATTAAAGATATCCAAAAATTTTTTCTGCTTTGATTTTCAAAAAAACTTATCCCATCACTCCAAGAATGCTTACTTGTGAAGGAAAGAGGCTCTAATGATGAGGATAAATGAGACTGGGGATGAGAGAGAAGTCTTCAAAGAGTGAGAGAAAGTCTCAATCCTCATTACCTGATTCCAGGAAAGGGGGGAGGGGGAAACTTAAGGCAATAAAGGCAATTTTCTGTCCCTTTATAAGTTCCAGGGTGGATTACTGATGCTCAGATAATTAACAGGTGACAGTATAAAAATGCATCAATTGCACAGAAAAGAGGTCCTATTTGACGGTATTCCAAATACTCCATATGAAAACATGACTTTTGCTGCATGTCAAAATTCTTAGGATTTTGGAGTACTGGAAAACAAGAGAGAAATCTGCCACCTCGATGCTACTCAAGCAAAGCAAGAGCTGAGTATTACACACTTGGGTCTTGACCTGAAGTCAAGACCCAAGTATGTAATTCAGCATTGCATCTGGTGCACTGGGCTTAGGGTTGCCACCTGTTCATAATTAGTATGGACAGTACGTATTTCAGATTCTATGTCCATACTGCAAACTGGTCCTAATATGGACACACTGTTTTGTCTATATTTTAAACTTGTTAAGATTTTTTCACTCAATAAAGCTTAATAGCAGCTAATATAGTCATTTCCTGTAAGTCAAAAGCAGTAAGCCACACTAATAGTACCAATTGGTGCCTTGTCTTAAGGTGGCTGTGGGTATATTTAGCATATTTGTCCATATTTTGTTAAATTCAAAGGTAGCAACCTAACTGGGCTTCACTTCTATCTGTCCTAGCATTCTTGATATTCAATAAATTGCAGAGTGTCAAGGGGAGATGGGAATAGAAAAGGGGACTCACACGGAGGACAAGAGTGAGAACAAGTGTCGTGATGAGGAGGACTAGTAGGCCTACGACAATGAGTCCAGTGGCACTCACACCTCCAACTCCACCTCCAAACAATCCATTTCCCTTTCCATCCTCTTCACCTTCACTTTCAGCACTGTCCAGGTGGGCAAACCTGGTCTCATGGCCTATGCCCACACACTTCCCTGCAAATACATGCAGCCATTCTAGGAATTAAAGATATGCTGTTGTCATACTGAAATCTAATTGTGGTAGCATGACCAAACAGGATTAGGGCTGGGTGAATCATGACAATAATCCTTAGCCTGAATTCTGACTGTATTACTCAAAATAACTCCACTCAAGGTGTCAAATCTCAGAATTTTTTGCCCATTCAAATCAAATTGATTCTAGGAATCCACAATCAAATCCCAAATCTTTACTGCAATTACATGATCTAGAACTGAATTTAAAATCCTGGCTGAGATAGACGTCTAACAGTTGCTGGGACATTGCTTCAATTTTGGAAATAATCTCTTTCTTAGGTCCCACATGAGATTCACCGCATTCAGAATTGATCAAACAATGGTAGTAAGGCAAAATTTAAAGTGTACAGTGTAACTGAATGACAGATGATCAGTTTTGCAATGACACACATGGAGTAATGTTCCTGCGAAAGACTAAAATATTCCAAAAACATCGAAATCCTGTCTAAACCAATGTCATGAACCCTGAACCTAAAAAAAAAATTTTAGACTTGAATTGAATTTACATAGAATATAGATTTTAATTTGCAATCACAGAGTAGGATGAATTTGGACTCATGGAGACAATCTGAAATTGCTGCCTGCAGTCAATAGTATAGTGCCCCCCACAGTTTCAGTATGAGGCTTCCTTCTCAGGACAAGGGCACTGGGGACATTCATATTTACTTCACCATAAAACGAGACAATCTTCTTTGCTGCTTCTCAAAAAATTAAAATACAAAAGCAAGAGACTTGAGTAGACAATGCTAGAATAGAATTTTTAAAGCTTGATAAGAATTGTTGCATGAATTTACCAGTGTGAGGATCACAGTGGCAACAAGGAGTGCCAAGATGGACTTCCTGACAGCATGGCAAGCAGAGGCCCTGAACATGATCAAACTTGAGGGTGGGGATGCACGAGTTGCAACTTCGTTCATCTGGACCTGAGCAAGTGCCGCAAGTTGGGTGACATTCATGACAGTTCCCATCCTCAGCTGAATAATACTGGGATGCAAGGCATGGAACGCAGAGTCCATCACGGAGGGTGCCATTGGGGAGACATGTGACACACTCTGTGATGCTGCTACCAGTGCAGGTGCGACAAGACTGGTGACATGGAAGGCATGTGTCAGGGGATTTTGGGAAGTAGCCATTGGGGCAAAGCTTGGGACATTGACCACCAGCCAAGTGCCTTCCTTCAGGGCATTCCAAGCACTGGTTATTCTCAGGACCACTGCATGATGCACATGATGGGTCACATGCCCGACATGTACCCAAGTCACTGTAGTATCTGGTGAAAGAGAGAATGAGGGATTTCAACAATTCAGTAGTTGATATAGTCATGTAATCTGTTCCCTATCGCTAAACAAGACCATGATGGATACAATTTTGCCAAAGTCAGAAGAAAATTTTTTTATCTACTACAACATTGACAAATTTAATGTGACTTGAGGAAATAAGATTGTTGCTTTGACTTGTCAATTTTTCAAAAGGAGGAGCATATTTTTTACTTGAGTTCATGTAGTACTGAAATGATTGATTGGTGACATACCCCATCTCACAGGATACCATACACCTTCCGCCCTTTAGGAACAATCCAGAGTCACACTGGCGACACTGGTCAAGGAGTGAGCAGGCAAGGCACCCATGGGCACACTGGAGGCATGTGGTCCCATCAGGAGACTCATAGTATCCCTCGGGACATGTGTCATAGCAGTGACCACGGAAAAAGAACAAGTTCTCAACACATGATACGCAATCACCTGCTTCACCCCCTCTGCATAGGTCACACGTCTCGTGACAGGGACGACACCTCTCTCCGTCAAAGTACTGGCCTAAAGAATACAGTTGAAAAAACAGGCTCTGCATCAGAACTGATTTCAGTAAGTACTGCCTGGGTAACAACAATATTTCAGGATGAAGAAATATGCAGGAAGTCAAAATCAGACTATTGTTACAGTAACATGAATCAGCTTCACTGAATGAACAATAGTGATGGGAGAAAATGGATAGGAGAGGAAAGCATAGGAAAATGGCGATGTAGGTTTGAATAGGCAATGAGCATATTCAAGTGATCCAATGTTTTACTTTTGGAAAATTAAAAATTTTCATATCATGGCTCTTTGGGAAGTAGATTCAATGAAGTATTTTTATTAATTATTAATTATTATGCATTTATTGGCCCATTCCTTGAAATCCATGACCTACCAAAATTACAAATTGAAAAGAAATGTCACTTTTCTTTTATGTCCATGGCTATAAGACTGAAAGGAGACTTAGAAGATTTTACATGGAAATGAATGGCTTCTCATACAGCATAGGCTATGAAGAATTAATTATAACTACTAATTTGAAATGAAATTCCTGACTATGAAGCCTTCATCCATGCTGCCTTGATGAAACTCATGCAATGCAAAGAAAAGGTTCATAATAGAATATAGAGACCACTTGGGGTGAAGAACCCAGTGAAAAGAGAGCATACCTTGTCTGCATTTTTTCTTGTCTGATGAAACACAAAAACTTGTGGAGGATAAGCGAAGATCTTTCTCACATTTCAAACATTTTTCCCCATCCTCACACTTCAAGCAACCTGTAATTACATTGTACAAAAAGGTAAATGTCACTGACACAGTTTGAACTGAACTTCATTTGAATCAGGAATGGGATGGTCACCTGGAGGACATTGGTAGCACTCCCGATTGTGGTCATGACCATAAAAGCCAAGAGGACATGACTTCATGCAGGTCCCATTCATGTGATACATACCAGGATAACAAGTTGCACAGCTGTTTGACTCAGAGCCAACACATGTCTCACATGATTCATCGCAAGCTTCACAACTGGGTAAACAGAAGAAAGAAGAAATAAGCTCGGTTTAATGCCTCCAGGATAATTACTAGTAACCCTATCAACTCACCTGTGATAAGAGGTTTCAAAATATCCAAGGGGGCAAGTAGGGACACAGGTATGATTGAGAAGGAACAGGTGATGATCACAATGAATGCAATGATTCGGGGACCCAGCACATGATGCACAATGGGGCTCACAAGTAATGCAGTGCTTGGTTGCCTCCTCTGTGATTCCAAGAAGAGGTTAATTCAGAGACAATAATACAGGAAGCATGCATAGAAGATACTCATCACCAAAAAAATGCATGGCCAAGAGGGAGTAATCTTCATTGAATTTAGCACACAAGCTTTACTAGCATACCATGAAATCACTTAGAGTTTCAAGGGTGTAGGATGAATATTCAGCAAGCCAAGCAATCAAATTTCCATAGCAACTATGGGGTCATACTAATAGCTCAAAATGATCACCTAGAAGGGTTTTACTAATGACACATGGCCAGGAAACTCCTAAAGATGTGAAGAAAAAAAATTTAGCAGTTTTGAGGCCACCAGATGAGGCAATGCAGAGAGAACTTGCCAATAGCTGGAGGGTTGGGGCAAGAGGGCGGTGCCATTGAAGGCACTAATTTCCTTTTTTCTTTCCCTCAAGCCACTTCACTATGAGGCTGTTGTTGAGAGTCTAACTGCAAGGCAGTGCCTAGATGAGACCTCTATAGGCAAATTCAATAAGTTCTTAGTGCATTTAATCAATGATGGGCAATTTGGACGCTCACCATGCATCAACTTGATGCATGCAGAAGGCTGATGTTTGAAGCTAATACATGCATCCCAATAAACTCACATCAAACACTTAAACTTCTTGAAATAGCCTCAGAAGATCTCATTTTGGCACTAAATGGTTAGACTCTCAACAAAAGTCATACACCATATTTCATTAAGATTGCTCAATTCCTTGGTCATGCTTTTTTTGTGATTATTATAAGTAACTGAGACATTTGCTGCAGCAATGGCATTTCATTACTTCAGGGCAGAATGGCAAAAATCCCACCTTCTTGTATTGCTTCTCATTTGAGTTGGTCATATTTTCATTTGAGCCCAACATCAATGCATAGAGGCTAATAGTTAAATCATTAAGTGTCAAACCAGTCAAAGTCACTTTGTTCTGGATAGGCAAGGAAGGGAGATAGATTTATTTTTCTTCACATGGCAATATCAAATTTTCAAACCTGTGCAATATCCTGCATTACTGCATGTGTTCACAGGTGGTACACCAAATATGATGATTACAGTGGACACTTAGGATTTAAAAAAAACTGCTTTCCAAGACATTGCCAACTACATGGCAGGGGAAAGAAGTAGGGAGGAATGAAACAGACCTTGAAGGTATCCCTCAGGGCACATGGAGACACAGAGTGAGAGATCCAGGATGTAGAAGAGATTCTGAGTACATGCAAGACACTGGTTTAGGTTGGGTCCAGTGCAAGAAGCACATGACTCATGGCATGCCCCACATTTACGGTAGGCATCACTATACGTTCCTTCTGGACATGCTTTCACACAGGATCTAGGTAGGAGGAATAAACATAATACAATATATACTAGAGGGAAGGAACCAGGAGAATTGAGCATTAGAGAGGCTAAAGAGTATTGCAATGACTGGAAGCAGGAATAAAAGGTGACTAATGACTAATCAGTCCAACAAACTTTGAACTAATTTCAGCCCTAGCTATTGCCTTGTGAGTTTTACTTTTATGATATAGCACCTAACTGCATTAAGAGGAAGGAGAATTTCACAAGGCCAGAAGTGGAAAGGACTACTTTTGTATTAGTTAGAATCTAATCATGAGCAATTGAGATAATATCAAGACATCAACATTTATCAAATAAAATTCTAATAACGAAAAAAAATCTAATTTATCATAATTCTGTATCCCACAAGGGGATTGTAAATCATCCTAAATTTCACAAAAACCTACAACATACATAATTACATATAATACACACATTCAATATAATAAAAAAGAATTTTCATACACAATACATCTATTGGTAATGGAGAAATCGATTAGCAGCCAAACAAATGTAGACCAACTGTGATTCACTACACAGTACACAATCAGAGAAACTTCTGAGTAACTCTGGCCCTGGCAAAGTGACAAGTTCCCATGGTTTCCATAATACAAGGGCACAAAAGTGGATTCAAAAGGGAAAAAAATAACTAACAAATAATTACGATAGGTAGCAAAGGTGTAAGCACTAACGTGTTGTGCTGAAAGTGCAGGCACTGGTGACACTGATGGGGACCAGGCCCAAAGCAACCACTATCAGAACACTCCTTATGACAGGTTGCATTTGACAAGGATGTCCTAGGGTTCACTGTTGTCCCATTCACATCCACCCAGGTCTCAACCTGCCAAGTGGGAAACCAAATATCATTCACTTATTGCCTCTCACCAAATAACTGGCTTCAAAAAGACCATGAATGATGGCACAATAGCAGTAAACTACACTGAGATAGCCCAACTGTATATACATGAACCATTCTACATAATACCATTCAGTTTTGGTGCACTGTCCAATACTGAAATGCTACAATCATCAAAAAAAGGATATGCAGGGTGGTAAAAAAAAATATTGTCACTGTTCTGATCTCCTGCACCAAGCCAAGGTGATCTTCTGTACACTAATGACTTACCAACTTCACATCCAGCTCATACCACTGAAGATGAATGACAATTAACCCTTTTAAGGAGTATGCCCATAAATATATGTTAAAATGCTCATGAATTTTCAATTTCAATTTTTGTTTAAATTACCCTTTTTGAGATCAACACATTTTGTGCCTATCACGCACTACAATAGACTATGCACTACAATATTATCAAAATCATTCTATGCATATTTTGTCTCATTGAATATTTCTTTCAAAGCATCCTAGGAGAGTGAAGATATCTCACTAATCAAAAGATTAAAAGCCTGCACTACACTACCCTTTCTTTCATTTCACCTAATTTCAATGTTATGAACCAGATGCCAAGTGGTTTGTCATTCCTCGTGCATTAGGTTGCAATGCATTAGCTAATCAATTGCCTATTCATACTTCTTCACAGAGACTTAAACAGTAGAAAGATTAATGGAGAACTAGCCTTTGAAGAAAGTCTGATGAGGTGTTCTTATCATACATCATACATACTTTGCTGATTTGTCTCTTGACTGCTTCCCATGTTATAATGAGAAATTGTCAAAACTTTTCTCATTAAAGCAGAGTGGACTTCACTTCCTCATGAAGAAAAAGCTTACTTTCTAGAGTTTTCCATTTCTAAACAGGATAAAACCTTTGTGGTGTCTGCAAACAAATGGGATGTGGATACAATACAGTTTCCATCCCCGCTGCAGGCCCAATACTTGAATATGAGGAATGCTAAGGACTCAGAGGACAAGTATAATATTGACCAGTCAAGAGACAATAGCAACTGTAAAATAGTGGGTCTGTAAAACCCAAAGGATAGAAATATGTCATGAGGTGAGAAAGGACAGAGGTCGAAGGCACTGGCACAGCTCTCTTTCATATTCTTTCTTTCTCTTTTCTGTATCCTGTTTTTCTGCTTCCATTCCAGGACAAGTCAAGAACTTTCAACATTCTTTATCTCAAAATGAAACTAAGATCTACTATGAATGCTCTTAAAAAAAAAGAGCTGATCTGAGATAATAAACAAAATAATATTTTTTTCTCTGATTCCATGCATGATGATTCCCAGCACCAACTTCCCAATGTCTAGGTGGTGAATGTTACTTCAGTTCCACAAGAGCAATAGAATGACTGACCGGTGGGGCCAAGGATAGGGGCTGAAGCAGCATTAGATTCAAGTGGAAGAAAGCAGGAGCCAAAGCGAAGACCAGATTCCCAGAGCTCATATGGTCTTTCTTTTTTTTAAAGAACAAGTGTATCTTGTGCGTGGTGCCAGAGAAGAAAGTGTACCTTAGAGCTGCCAGCCAGTGAGAAAATGTTGGGGAAGCTGTGGAAGAAAGGTTGAGGGGTGGGGCGATGAAGTGGGTGTGGACGGGGACGGACGAATGGGGTCGATGAGGAAGATGGGGGGAAGAAAGACATAGGATGACGCTGTCCGACCTGCGACACCGTGCTCCCTCCATCCTTCAACCTCACAGGGTTGATGTCTGTCCCATAGAAGATCATCTGCCATGAACGCAGCAACCCTAAAAGCAACCAAACAGGCATTCCATGTTCATAACATCTTCAAATGGAGACTTCAACAACTCTACTCAACAATTTCATCTTAACTCATGATGATTTTGATGAATTTATGATCAAAATTAGAAAAAATGTGACCCATGGGTTTAATATCATTCCCAAAGTCACACAAATTCAAATTAAACACACCACATGTGCACATATAATTAAACTCTATCATTATTAACTCAGATATAATGAAACTCTCTGTATATGAAATGTATGAAATGGCCAACGACAAATGTATGAAATGACAAATGAACTAAGTGTCAATACATAATGGCAGGACATTATACATACAGAACCCATGACAAGGCAACAACTTTTTGGATAGGGAAATTTATGTGATGAAATATTTTCACCTTACCTTAAAAATTTTATTTTCTGATGAGATTGGACTCAAAATCAACTTATCATTCTGGATCACAATGGTACATTTCATATTTCTTATTATTATGGTGCTGGTCATCCAGTCATAATTAGGAGGGTCACTTCACCAAAATAAGAGCAACCATGAGAAAGTTTTCTGAAATGAATTCCTTAATGAAGAGCTAACAGCTTGTTGAGGGTTTTTGCTAGTTTTGATTGGTAAAATAAATTCTGATTATTCTTTCCTGATATTGCATAGAAACAGTTGTTTATTGATCATGAAGAACTAATTCAAGAGGAATGAAACATGATTCTGACTTGACTTCAAATGGGAAAAAAAGAGCATGCTGATCAAAATTCCAGTTGGTTCTACCTCAATATCCAGTAGAATCCTAAGAATTAAGGATCTTTAATTGCAAAATTCATGACAAAAAAATCATAAAATAACTTTTAAAATTTCTTCTCATTCAGAAGAATGAGCTTATGTGCTCTCAAAGGCTGATTAGTCCCATAGTCTAAGAAAGGGAGAAAGGAAGGAAGGCAGGAGATTATCATCACTATCAAAGCCATGATGGTAGATAGTTAAGGATGTCAAATACAGGTATTCTATATGCCATTGGAGACTTTTTATATGGACAATTGACCATCATACCATATCATACATGCAATGGATGAGGACTTCCCTGATCCCAAGGGTGACAATTTCCATATCATGGATAGTGCATTAAATTCATCTTGGATACTAAACAGCTGACATTCCTTCTTCATGTATCTTTAAACATGAAACCATGCCTTAAGCATGAAAGTCACAAAAATCTGCATTTTTTAATTTGAGCTATAGGGGATTAGGTATAATAGTGTATCATACCCCAATAAAATGGCATTTGTCTGGATAAAACATTTTTCTTCCACTTCAGGTAGCCCTGAATTTTTAAAGGGTCGGGTATTGATCTTTTAACCCTTTTAGTGCCATGGGTCAATTTTTTGGCTGTCTACCACTTCCAAAAATGCTGAAGACCAATTTTTATGCCATCTAACAAGAACCCCAACAAAGTGAATGAAGAAACTTAACAAAAAGCGGCAGCCAAAAAATCTGCTGCATGGCACTAGAAGGGTTAATAAAGGTTTATGACCCAGCTTTAGGCATGAAAAGAAAAACTGTTAAAAAACTAGCCAAATTAGTTGATGAGTGGGCTCCAGAGAAGGGCTATCAAATGAGTTTGTTGATTTGTTCTTCTCAGATTGAATAAGCTATAATCAAGGACCACTGCCCTGAGCCATGAGTGCATTATGAATCATAAGCCACAAAAAAGTTTCCCCAGTTCTGATAGGTTAAGGGAATATTTTCATTAGTGATGACCAGTTGGCAAGCCAAAGTGTGAAGAGGTTACATTATTAAGGCATACAGCAAAAACTACGTCACACAGAATTGCATGACTGCACAGATAACCACCAGCTAGACTGAAAATACTGTGACTTCTTAACTTCAGAAATTGTATATTGTTTTATGGCAAAAGCTGTTCCAACATGTTCTAAATTCTCTGAGAATTTGTAGAAAAAAAAGTGCTGTCAACCACTTGCATAGCACCTTGCTTGCTGTCAACCTCTTCCTGCAGAAAAATCTCCTCACAAGCTTATAACAGGGAATATGATTCGATATAGCATCATCTTTGTTACAGCACCCTAATTGGCAATGACCAACAACCATGGTTGTTAATAGTTGACTGCAATTTATAGAAAGAAGGACAGACCTGGCTGAGAGACACGTCTCTTCCCTGCATTTGCAATGGTGAGTTTCCAGACTCCAGGAGCAGCTTCACCCCAAAAATGCACAGAGAGGAATGGCCATTCATCAAAATTGGAGTTGAGGACATCCCGTGGACGCTCAAAGAGGAGGGTTGTTGGAGTGCCCATAGGGGATGTGAGCATGATTCGTAGGTTCCCTCTTGGCAAAAATCTCAGAGTGATCTTGCATTGGACATGTTCCAAGAACCGAACTTCATTCAGTGTCCCAGCACATCCATCAGTGGACATGGTGGCTTCCAATGTTCCTCCAGGCTCAGATGGTATTGTCCTGGAAAAAGATTTATGTGAAGTAGACATGATTATTTCCAGATAAAGAACAACACCCTAGTCACATTATTCCTATAAACCTTATCCAGACTCAAATATTTATGATACAATGCAAACCAAACAACACTCCATGCTTTCCTTGATGCAATTGCATGAATCTGATTTAATAATAACAGATGTAATACAGTTACAACTAATAGAGGAAAAAATACATCTTATCTCTTCCTCTCAAGAGAATGCTTGAGTGTCCTAAATGGTGTTTCAGTGCAATCAAGCCCAGAGTTAGTCAATCAAGTCAGCTTCTCCATGCCAGCAAAGAGGAGTACAATCTGCTGGTCCATTTAAACTTTGGTGAAGTGTCATTGCCAGGAAAGGGTGGAACATTCTACAAAATCAAGTAGCCTATGAATAAGTCACTGCACAAGAGAATTAGGTTTGACACTAAGGCCTGAATGCTGAGACTGAAATTCTTTAGTTAACAGTCCATTAAGAATCCATGGGACTCTTATGGGGGGAAAAAAGCTCTTAAGCTTAAAGGCACCATTATATCCCCAAAATAAGGTTTAGGCATTCAAGCCTAAAGCTATATCCTAATCTCTTTTTATTTGTTTTATGTCAAACATATGAAACACCATTGAGTTCTTCCATCACATGGCAAAGATTATGAGTATTTCACTTAAATAATGGACAAATAATTTCACTGAATTGAAAATGCCTTGAAGTTTACTTCTTGAAAAAATTAAACAATCACAATTTTCTGATTGAGGATGAGAGGTTTACCTCCTGCTCTCAGCTTCATAGGACACCTGTCTGTCTCAAAAATGGAATATGCCACACCACTCCCACACTCAAAAAGATACATTTAGGGTCTTGATATCAACTGATTCACTAAATTTTCCTGGATGCTCTTTCTCTGTGCCAATATTATTTACACCAAGCTTGTTCTAAACACCTAATGTAAGTGGGAAGGGAAGAGAAGGAAAATGAATGAAAGAAATTGACCTCTGAGTAGTATCAGTCCTTGTCTGACAAATGTGTTGAGGAGGAACTGTGGTCCACCTCTCAGCTAAGTTCACCAGTGCCTCGGCATCCATCAGACCGTAGCCAAACATGTGACTCACTGTCAAAAAAATACACAGGGCAGGGAAATGAACAAGACTTAATCTGTTCTACAAAGACTTGAGGTGAAAATAAATCCAGGAGTAGCAGCTACCAGAAGGAAATGATTAAAATACAATAGAAAGTAGATAGTAGAATATAGATAATAGATATAGACAATAGATAGTAGAAGTTATAAAGTAGAGCACAAAAAATGTAAAAAAGTTCTCAGACTTCAAAAAAGGACAAAAATACAAAAATTCATAGGATTTCATGCAAGTAAAAAAAAAATATTTATACAGTATTCCATCTATGCAAAATTAGAAATGCACCAAAATCCTTTTATCAGCACGCTCCCTCAAAATAATGCCAAACTACCCTCCTGCAAAGACAGACAAGGGACTAACCTTGACGGTTGACTCCATTGGTAACCCAGCCACCCTCACGCTGCAATGGTTCTGGTCTTGATGTCATAACCACCAGATACTGCATGTCCCTCCATGTCAATTCATGGTTTGCTTCTAAGGCCAGGGCACAGATAGCCCCAGCTATTGGAGCAGATGCTGAAGTCCCTGTCATAAAATGTAAAAAAAATAAGTTAATAGAGTCGAAGTGTACACTTCCCTTTGTTCACAATCAATGAGGACTAACCAGTGTGTTCAACAGTACAGATGCGGTCATGTCGAAGCTCAGCATCCTGATCACAGGTAGCCACTCCCTTATCTTGTGATGGAGTTCCTGAGCTGTATGTTGTTGCCAAAGTTGAGGCGCACTCCTCTAGATACCATGGTTTCAAGCTGTCAAAAAGAACGATCCAAAAAGCATATTTTTTTTGTGTTCCCTTTTCAGCAGTGATTGTAAGAAAAATCAGATGTTTACCCGCGCTGAGTGGCACTGGAGATAGAGAGTGTGAAGATGGAATTGGTGTATCCATCACAATTGCAGTTATCCACATGCCTTCCTCCATTCCCCGAGGCCCACACAAAGATGGATCCTTTACCTGATCGACCCTGGTAAATCCAATGGCATCATGAATAACTTTCATGAGACTGAAGCAATTTCAGGATTACCACATTAATCAAAGAATCCATTATGAAGTCTTCTCCAACTCATTTTTAGGGTATTCTATCAAACAAGATGTTCATATTCAAACAAAACCTCCACCTTCCAGTATCATCAAACCCCTTTGCTACCTTTTTGAGTAATAGTTCACACAAATTTTCTCATTTACCTGACTATGAAGAAAAAAAAAAATTTTGCCTTATTGCATATGTTTTTTACTCCATTTCCAAATCCCTGACTTGTCCCTAGTCTGTGAGAGCCCAGGGAATGAAGTGACAGCCAACCTTCATGATGCCATTGATGAAGGCCCGCCTGGCCAAAGGTCCAGGTCCATCTACAGTCTTCCCATCATCTTCAGGTCCCCAGGATGCTGAGTAAATGTCAATGTGGTCAGGGTTCAGACTCAGAGCATGGGCCTCCACAGCATCATTCACAGGACCATCTAACATCCTCACACCTGATGAAAAATCATTCAAAACCTGTATTGTTTTTTGACCACTTAGTCCATACCAACAACTGAGCCAAGGGAAATCAAGCTTTCAAGCAATCAACTGGTATAACTACATTCATAAATTCATTCATGATAGATGTGTGCTACAGCAGAGGAACAGCTCAGGTCACATTATCTCTTTAATCTCAGTATCCTGAATTCTTGATATTTGGATTTTCATATATTTTTCAACATGCACTCATTGGAGCAGAAAATCTAGCTTTTGATAAGTGAACTTATGAAAAAAAGATGGGGCTCATCTACATCAAGTAAAGCAAATGAACTAGCAATAAAATTTCAAGAGATCCTTCAAGGTGGTACTGTGACATTTAAAAGAGAATATTCTGGGCAGGAAATTGCTTTGGACTAAAGATCTATAGACTACAGCAACTGAATAGGTTCTTATTAGTGGCAGCAACCACTATGCCATAGCAACTGGTAAAGATGGAATTCTTTTGAATTCCTATTAAGCTCAGAAATGCTGTTTTACAAGCTAAATTCCGAAAAAGGACTATAGAAAAACTTCTCAATAACAGGATTAAGAATAACAGCTACATTTGCATGAGATGCAGCATACTTTTGTCACAAACAACACAAAGGGCTCTTGACAATTCCTTAATCCACTCCCAAATGGTCAAGCTACATGGTTGAACTCTTCGCTTCACAGGCATTAACACTAGGACAGAGCAGTCAATTTGACCACTGCATTAAAAATAGTATAAAACTTTGTTCAGTAACATTTTATTTGCTTTTTCCAGATGTTATTTGGTATGTTCAATAAGTTAAAACGTTCAAAATGTTGATAGTGGATAGGAAAAGTAAAAACTGCAGAGGTCCTTAGTTGCCAAATGAGCAGAGTAAAGTGCATTAAAAAAATCTGCAAGCAGTCAAAATGACTTCTCTGGTCCTTCTAGTGTTAATCTATCTCATCTGAGACCATTGGAAAAATGCTCAATGTCTAAGAGGTCCTCCAAGATTCAGCATGTCCACTTTCCTAAACAGACACTAATAATGTGGAAGGAGTCAATGCCAAACAAGGCATACCTTTATGAATGAGTGAGCCATAGCATTAGCATATGTGACAACCCAACAATTTTCAGTTCATTGCTACTCATTTTGGTCTGAGGCTAGAGGAGCTTGAAGGTCATTTGCTGCCATTATTGTAATTTACCAATTGGAACCACGAATCCTTGCAGAAATTTGGCATTATTTTAAAGCCTCTCATCTGTTATCAATAGAAGCAATGATTAATTTTTCCCTACTTAGTAATATACAGGGTGGGCCAAAAAATAACATACCGAATTTTGCAGCTTATATCTCAGGACTGGTATGAGATGGAGGAATGAGGCAGGACTCATTAAAAAGAGCATTCAATTGGCTTTAAAATGGAGCAACTTTTATTTCAATGTTCAAATTTTTAATTTTGTATAATCACTGTTTTAAAAGTTTGAAAAAAAAGATACTGCCATCCACAATTAGGAAACTCATTCATTATTGGAACCATAGTATTGCTTCTCCTTACACATGGCCTTAAACAGAGCTTTGTCCAATTCACTCAAAACCATCGTGAAACTTCAAAGTTCCAGAGCACATGAAAACTGCTTCGAAACAGCTTCTAACATGTAATGGACAAGTTGCTGAGTCACATTGCCTGCCTGACACTGAAAATGCCTGACAGTAAGGGGAAAATTGGCGCATTTTTTGGCCCACCCTGTATATCGCATTTATATCAGTTATCTCCTTTTGTGCCCTTACAAAAGCAGAGGTTCTCCTCTGTATATTGAAAATGGGATCCTGCAATGAAAGGCTGTGAAGTATGGGAGCCCACAAAAGAATTTTGAAGTCACATGTTCATTCCTAGGAGAACACATGAGACTGATATTTCAACTAACTGTTTTAGACAAAGAGATAGGATCTCCAAAACTGTAACCTCTATCTGCCAATAAGAAGGAAATAACTTAGGTGTAACAGGGAAAAGGAACAGGACGAACCGCCAATGCTGGAGTTGTAGGCAACTCCAACACCACAGTAGTGATTGAAGGCTGTGGCTGAAACTTCTCCAGCACATCGGGTCCCATGCTTGTTGTCACCGTTGTTTCGAGGCATTGGGTCAGGGTCCTTGTCATTAATGTCATAACTTGCCAGAGGATCCTAATCAGAATGTAAAAGCAAGGTAGAGGAATGCAGTGTATATGCAAAATGACTATGATATAAAATTCAACATCCTCATGAATTTCTTGTAATTCACTATATAAATAAAAAATTGCTATGGAAAGCAGATGTTATGTGCACCTAACCACAAAAACATGATCAAATGGATCAAGTATGGAAATGGAAATATTTTTCGAAAAATAAGACACAGCAAAAGTATCTACAATGGTAAAACAGGCACTAAAAACCAAAAAAAAAAGCAAACAACAGTAATATTAGGTCATGTCTTCAAATGAAACTTAGGAAAAATAAATATTTACAGACAGAAGATGTGTACAATGGGCACAATCATATACATCATTAATATCCTAGATGCAGCCCCAGTAGATTAGGCAGTTCAGTGGCAGCAGTAGTTTAACCCTTTCACTGCCAAAGGGAACTTCAGTTGTCTGCAGTTTTATTACCTCTTCAAAATTCATGCAGAGTAAGAGTTAAACTGAGCACTACTACTCTTGGCATTCCGTTGTTTGCTTACTTCAATCAGCTATGAACCTGAAATGAAATATGAGTTACACAGAATATGGAATTTTGGACAAGTACTATTACATTCATGAACTTGTGGAATGTGGGCTTAGAGTGGGCTATAAGGGCTTACAGAAACTACAGATATGATCTACATTGCTGCATCACTCTGAATTTTTAAACTGTCTCACTTCAATAATTTAAATTGCAAGAATTTCACATTATATCACATCATAGCACATACAATTATATATGAAACTTAAAAGGATATTTAATTAGCTTTTATTGGTATTGCTAGTTTTATAGCATTGGCTAGATTTACTAAATCATTTGTTTTGCTTTGTACTTGAGACAGAGGGAAAATTTGCATTGATAGATATTTCAAAATCAGGCAGTAAAATGATTGATATGAATGATAAAATAATTCCCTTCTGATATTTTTTATGACAGAAATATCACAGAGATGCATAACACAGGTTTACAACAATATATTTTCCCGTTCCTCTTGTCCTTCATGACATGATATAACATCACCTCAAGTGACTGCTCACAAATATGATCAGATAACTGACAAATTCTTCATATATGACCCTTTCCATCATTATATAATGGCTGAAGTAATAATGAATCATCATTTCATCATATGCAAATAGGCCCAAATCAAAATAATGGACGACATTTTCAATGTCATTATTCCCCAAGAAGCAACTGAAACTAAAATTGGAAGGATGGAGGAAATCCAATATCATCTTTACTTTGCTAGACTTTTAGAGAGGATTATACATGTACCCATATTTGATTAATCGATTGGTTAATTGATTAAACAGCTCAGGATACAATTAAAAACTTTGCATAAAAAAAACATAATAACATATTTAGAAAGGGAATATGAAGAAAAGCAGCAAGACATTACATTACCTGATCATCAATTACCAAAATCAACCATCAATTACTTGATTAGATTTGAAAACCACCCATGGCTATGCAGAATGATTCAGTGATAATGATAGTGGGAAGAGTAAAAATGAATGCATGCATAAGTGATAATGATAGGGGTTGACGAACATAATTGAGATGGATATCTGGATGATCATGTTGAATGCCATCATCCAAGATGGAGATGACAACTCCTTTCCCTGTATAGCCTTTCTTCCAGACTGGGGCCACATTCATATCCCATCCCCCATCCGCTCCCCCATGCTGCAAAAACAATTGAGGACCATGAATCAATGTATGATCTGAACAGTATTCATTTCTCTAAGTCAGCACTGCACAGTGCTTTCAGTGTGGAGTTCAACCACTAGCACAACTGAGCACACCCAAGTATGACACCTCAGTGTGATGATGAGAACAATGAGAAGCAAATTTGTGCACTTACTTTAGGTCTCAAGACCTGGTAGCTAGTAATGCATTTGTCTTTGTGGTGACCCTACTCAAGGAAATAACTTTTCAGTTCAATTTTAATTTGATTTTTTAATCTAAAAGAGTTTTCAAGTGGACTAGCTAATGAAAATTCTTAGGGTGGATTTTTGAACAGAGCACTATCCAATAATGCAGCTTTATTTACCGGATTTATAATGCATTTTCTGACATAAAGCTGTATTATTGGATTGCGCTCTGTTCAAAAATCCACCCTTAGTCTCTTAGTTAAAAGGCTAACTCCTATTTGCAATACCATACTTTTCCAATAGTTTCTCTGACTCTTATCAAAGTGAAAATGGTAATTACAATGCATGTCCTGCACTTTAAAACACCCTCAGCCCACAGTGCCACAAAAATGTCGCAAATTCAGATTGAAAAGAGTGTAAACTTATGCAATTTACCATTGCAGTTCATCCCATACACTACCACACATTCACTATACAAGTGGAAAAGTCCTTCAGCATCAGCATGAAACTCAATACTTTGTATATTGTGCCTTTTTCATACCTTTATATAGCTCAATTACATTACTTTTCAAACAAGAAAATGGAATAATTAAAAAAACTATTTAAACCAATATAATTATATTTCATTAGTTTACATCAAAAGGAAGGATGGAGTACAATATTCAATTGCGTCTTTTGTTTCATTCTTGCAATCACATCAAAGTCACTGAACTGCACAAGATAAAAAAAGATCATTGGGATGACTGACCAAGTACCACTGTTCTCCATAGAGGGGGTCAGGGAATGGGAAGGAGCCCTGGGATAAGGATGACCTTTGGGAATCCTCATGGAATTCACGAAGTGAGTGGAAGAAAGAGGCCAGGTCTGCTGATTCCATCCGCCTTCCCCCTATAGAACTCCGCTTCACTCTATGCCTCTCTCGCTGCTGATCCAACCATTTCACCTATGATATTCAAAATATAGAACCCCATTGAGACTTGTCCCTCTACACAAAATAAGACATAGTCAAGGAACTTCAAAAGTCACATGTGCATATAACTTGCAATAGTTGAAATGAACCAACTGTCAACTAATAGCATGCCCTACAGTAAATGTTGAGGTAGCAGGCCTACTTTAAGGCAACTTTTTTTTCCATCTCTATTCCCACCCAGAAACCAAGCTGACTATATGAAAGTTGATTGGCAAATATTTCGTTCATTGAGATAATTTGCATAATTTATGCAAATGAGGTCCAATATGGCCACCAACGTGCAAAAAATTGAACCTTTTTCAAACAGTATTTCTCACAGATGGTTCACATATATTTGATGGAATTGACAAGTGTTGTAGTTCAAATCCTTATAAATTTCCTGAGGGAAACAGTTGTAAAAAAAAATAGGTGAATTTTCAATAATGTAATTTTTTCAATTTTTAGCAATTTTTTGTGCCCTAATTACATATTCAATGGTACTAAAAAGTGCTAAGGATTGGGTGAATGAAAAAAGCTATTATCATTCCTTGGAGGAATGTTCAAGGTAGTTCTTGGCCAAAAATGAAGGGTTTGAGTGAATTACACGAAAAGTTATGCTGTTCAGAGCAGCTTCTGTCAGCTAAAAAGAGCTGTAATGAGAAAATCGCGATCAATGTGGTTGCCAGGGACAACAGGTTAGGGACATTGATAACAAATTAAACAAATTAACATTATTTTTATATTTTCAGTTTTTTATGGCGATATGAATCTGCATGAGTATGATCATATCCAATTTCGTGGAAGCCTTTTTTTTCCCAAAAAATGACAATTCTAAAGTAGGTCTGTATATACATATGCTATTACAATAAACAGATGGCTTCTTAGGAAAATGAAAACCAGAGCAGTGTTCAACTTGTTATCCAACCTAATAGGCAATGCATAGGAATGGCCAGGCAATAAATTCTCAGACTGTGATTATGAAACATGTCCTTGGCAAGGGTATCTGGGCCATAGCTTGAAATCATACAGCATGCATGTCCATGACATAAGTCCAATCCACATATAGAAGGCATGCTCTTAATGGCTGGCATTTCCCCTTGTTTTGAATCTAATGCTTTCATTTATTTCTTACTATGGAACAGATTCATACACCATACACCATATTCATTGTAAATGAAGGTACAATGTTTGTTTCTATGAACTCGTTCTTTGGTAAGGTAGACCTTACTCCATCACAAAAGGGATTTAGATTGGAAAGATATTAAAAGGGGTTGAAACAATCCAAATATATATCACTTTGGCAACTTGGCAACAAATGACAGAATTGAAAGAAACAAAACAATAATTTCAGGAATAAATATTTTCTTTCATTCCTGCCAAATGATGCCACGTATAGTAATCACCTAATAGCTAGCTTGATGACTTCCTATGCAGTTGACTGGAAAGTTGGACTATTCAAAATTGCTTCCTTAACACGTTGACGACCAGCCTATTTTTGCTTGTCCGCCGCGTGGGACAACGCGCATTTTTTTTTGTCAAAAAATGCGTCCTGCCATCAGGACGCATGGTCCCAGAAAACATTTTTTTGCCGAGTTTTTTTAAAATGTTGAATGTTTTGGAATTTTTTTTTATCAGTAATTACAAAATCATAATCTGGAACGTTCTCAACAGTTCCATTCATTGAAAAAAAATCTGCATCCTGGCATCAGGACGCATTGTCGCCAATGTGTTAACAGAGGAATGAAGTAAACCACAAATTTCCAAGAACTAAAAAATCAATGCTTTTCCTTCTATATCAGGGGTGCCCAACTGGGCCTCATTACCACAAAGGGACCTCCTGCTGGCTGCATGACTTCTTTTTAATATTGTAATTTAATCATTTAAATAAAAAAATTTTCATGCTGCCATGTACTCCTCCAGTGACTGAGGGAGGAAGAAAGCTTTCCCAGGAAGTTCTTCAACTTTCAGGAAGAACTATGGGGCTATAAGTTGGGCACCCCTAATCTACATGAAGGCAATGAATGCTTTCAATCTTTAAACAGTTGCCAACAAGGTCACTTGGGTACCAAAATACCCAATTTGATTATTTTTAATCATAGCCTTTTGCCATACCAGGACACTGAGTGGATTCAAGTACTAAAAAGGAAGTAGTGAGGGTGCAAGACAACTGATCCCAGCTTCCTGAGGAGTATTTACTACCCTTCTAAACTTACTAATTCCATGAGAACATGAGCAGTTCCACTATTTTAACTGAAGATTTTACTTGATACATTCTCTATCATCTTGGCCTGCCAATCAAACTTCTATGTTCAACAAAATCACCTTCAAGCTTAAAGAAGTTTCAGCTAAATGAGTCTTGTCAATGCAGGAAGGACAGATTCATATATTACTTACAAGCCTAACTAAAGTGATAAAGGATAATATTTAACACTTCCGCTGCCAAGCCATTTTTTTGGAGGTCGTTCCCCTGAGGCCAAAGTAATCCTCCTAATTCTGGTGTGCATGATGCAAGCAACTCCGCAAAAGGTGGGGATCCACTGGAGATGATGAATGCATGGGATGGCAATTGACAAGCCATAATGAGGAAACTTTGAGCTTGTCTGCAATGACTGCCAGCAATAAACCAGTACCAATGTTTTACCTTTGAATTTCAAACCAATACTGAAGTGCCATTGCTCCCAAATTCTTCATATTCCTTGGACCTCGAACCTTGTGACATCAGGCCAATTCCAAAAATGAGGTGCCTTCGATGTATGGCCGCCGCCTCAACAACACAGGCGCTTGCCAAACAACTTGCGACCAACGCGTTGGACAAATTTGCCATGAATGGGTTACAGTCTGTTCTAAGCTCTTTACAAACAAAAGGAAATGTGAATTGCAAGTCATGTTGTACAGGGTTGACTGGAATAAATTAAGTACCTGGAACATTTTTTACACAAGTAAATTCTTCAGCAAATTGACGCGAAAATGTAAGGATACCTTGTTGACGAGGTTCTTCAAGAGCTGTTGAAGTATATGCACCCTTGCCCATCTACTCTTGAGTTATGAAAGATTTAATATAATTGGTTAAATTTTCTGAGTGAACAGGCATGTGACTGCCAATGGTGAGGTACGAATCTGTATTTGATCTTTGCTTAATGGATCTGTTCCTCGCGAAAAATTAATAGAATGTTGTCAAAAATGTGTACTCAACCATATAAAGTTCATGCATCTGCATGTATTTTCAGGAACCCTCATGCAATTTGGATTCATGCCTCGCAATGCCAGTTGCATGCCTGCTCACTCCTTTCTTTACCGTTTCAACAAAACATGCCATAACTCATGAATGGGTATCCATAAATTCATATAATTTCAAGAGCTTTAGGAAAACATAGTAGGCAATGTTCCATTACATTTTCAGGCTAATCAAGTACAAGGTATGGATTCCATAGAAAATTTCCAAGTTGTTTTTTTGTCATCCCTGTATTTTGAAAGGGATCATTCTGAAACAGAGCATCTGCACATAATTTGCTCATATGAAAACCGGTTCTGGAGTTTTTGATATGTAAATGTACATACTATAGACTCCCATAATATGCCCTATTTACAGAAATGCGGAAGAAGTAATTTCCATTTCACCCTTATACAGAGACATGCTTATATTGAATACATTGTAAAAAAAAAAAAAAAAAAAAAAGGAGAGAGAGAAAAGAAAAAGAGATTTATAAAAAGACATGCTTATATAAAAAAAAAAAAAAAAAAAAAAAAAAAAAAAAAAAGGAGAGAGAGAAATGAAATAGTGCCAATTCGATTTACAATTGACCTTATCAGAAGACAACAATAAAATTTGAAAGATGAAAGGAAGAGGTCAATAGATCATATTGCACAAAGCAATGCAAACCACCCATCGGTGAGTTGTATGATACAGTAGAAAGGACCTGCACGACCTGCCAGCAGCTCGTATGACCCAGGAGAAGAGAGAACGTAGGTACGACCTGCCGGCGAGTCATATGGCCTAGGAGTATAGAGTCCTTACGACCCACCAGCAGGTTGTATGGCAGCGAAAGTGTTAATACATTGTCTATGACCCTAGAAAGTTATCTCTACTGTAAAACTCATAATATCCACTTGCTGGAGCCAGCAGACTTGTCACCTTCTTGCTATATGACATAACTGAAAATTTGTAGATGCAGCAACAGAATGACTAAATACTGATGATTACATTGGTGAATTCATTAATGCCAGAATGATGATACCAGCACCAGTACTTGGCAATCAACTGAACCAACATGCCAACAAAGGCCATCACAGTCTGACATTACATGTAACGTATTTGAGGGGTGCAGCAATGTTCACAAATGTCATATGGTGCTTGGAAGAAATTCCTAAATTGTGAATTTCATCCCTAAAATTCTCCCTTCTTTTTTCATGCAAATCATTCCAGTACAAGTCACCAAATGGAATTGTAAAGTCTAAATTTGACATTTTCTCTTTGTCAAATCTTGTTCAATTTTTTAATTTGCATGTAATATCAAAGCATGACAGTATCATTCTTGCTTCACAGTTCAATGTGGAATGCCAAATTTTCCTTGATTCTTCTCAATTATCAAAATCTTTGGAGAGGACATAGGTATAAAGGTACAAAATAACACTTTTTATATGAATGTGAAAAGTCACAAATGGGTTATCACAGTGATGTTGGCCCTTTGCCCTTGGCATCTATGTCAAAGACAATGGGTACATTCACAGGGTTGTAACTAATATTGCAGGTGGATGCATTAATGAAGATGATTTTGCCATCAGTGGTGATTCCATAACCTGCATTCAGAGATATACATATATTTAAGCACTATTACCATAGTTCACATTATAAGGGACAAACTTATAAGATAATTTTCAATGGTAGGTTTACAAATAAAATGCAATCATCTTGCATTTACATTTCCTACCATCCAACTTTCTGCTCTGTTGACAAGAATAAATCTCACCTTCATGAATATGTCCAAAGACATGGTAAAGTGGTTTGACCCTATTTTGAACGATGGAAAGGAGTTCAACGCATCCAGCCCGGTTACCACTCGCAGTGTGATCTCCATGACCTAATGGTGGACCATGAGAAACCAAGATGTCAGTATCATCTGGGATCAGGTCCCACTTGGCTAGGCATTCTTCACCCCGAGGTAGATTGAAGGCCCCCTGACCGAATTCTGGCTGCCTACAATGAGATGTTTCATCTTCAAAAAAATTGCATATTCATACAATTCTTTGAACAGCAGCCAGAGCAGAGAAGAGAGATGTCTAGCATTGAGCTTTAAGAGGGATACTAGGAACAGTACCATAAAAAAGCATGGCAACCTGGCATGAAAATCAGGATGACAATATAACTTTATATATAACTTTGAAACCACCATTTTCTTAAGAGTAATATAAAGGAGGTCCAGTACCATAATTTTTCAATTAAAAGTTGCATATACTGTTAATAGTGACAGTATGCATGGTTTTCTCTGGATTTGGGCATGAATGTGACATGTGACCAGTGCCCAGAGGTGAAAGAAATTGTTTCAGAGAAGGGGATTAACCATTATTAGGTTGCATCAAAAATACATGTATTCCATAGCTATAGTGATGTGAAGATAGTAATGAGCTTGCTGCTGTTAGTTGATGCCCTAATTCTCATCAATCCTCTAATTAGGGCTGGCACTACCCTCACATCACATGGCTTCACAGCCAAACGCTCATGAATGGTGAAATGGCCTAGGGGAATAAGAAAAATGACATTTCCCTCTTCCTCCATTCCTTGTGTATTCAGCATGGTTCTTCGTCACCTCATCCTATGACCTGGAAACATTTCTTGATATTCTTAGATGCCATTAAATACAATTCCACATTTATTCAATAAACTGGGTGCTTCTATTGAGAATTAAGGTATAGTTTCACAGTGAAGACTCATCCCACACCCCTGAAATTCTAATTTAATTTACAAGATACCATGAGAAGTTCTTGCATTCAATTTCATTAAGAAACTCCTACTCATGTTGCAATTTAATTGCTGGAAAGTATATATCCATCTCATTCTAAAGCACTTACCATGGGGTCCCATATATCTTGATGCCATACAACATGGTGGATGAATCTTCCAAATAGATTGCATTGGTGAGAAGTTTCTTTGCCTGCTCTGCTGCCTTCCTATTGACATCAGAAGCAAGGTGATCCCCTGCCTGGCCACGGCGGGGAATTGGTGAGAGCACTCCGTGGCCTATGTGAGTTGCTCGAAGAACTTCAGGCAGCTTTCCCTCATAGAGTGGATCAAAACTCAATTCATGGTTCCCTGCTATAACCACCTTGAACTTGTGAGGAAGCTCCCCTGGGGGGGAAAAAAATATATATATATATTCCTTTCCACCAGATGATAACACAAGAACAAGCCTCATACTTACAAAAGGAACACTCTATGAACCTTGTTAGTAGTAGTTCTTACCTCAATAGAAAACATAAGCCAAATGTAACTGAAAGGACACTAAAAACTTACAAAATAATATTTTTCAGCTATGAAATGAAATTTACAATGGAGAAACTAAGAGGCATTGAAGAAACTTTAAAATGTACCATGTTCCTCCAAATAACTTACACAACTATATGTGCACCAAGAACACGAGACATACCAAGCCATTCATTGAAGGCAGTTATCTCTTCAGTTTCCCCAATATATGTGAAGTCCCCTGCATGTATGAGCACATCGCCCTTTGGAACGACAAATGGCAGATTCTTTGTGCGGTTGTGGGTGTCACTCATGCAAACAAAACGAACCTGTGAAATAGAATGGACCTAGGTTAGGTTTAGGCCCTCATAATGGGTGCATTCTGAATGAACCTTGAGCATATGCACCAAGGGCAAGGAATGGTGAGGGCTCTCTTGTATAAATGACTGGTACTTCGTACATTTATGGATTCTCTAGTTATCAAAACTTCAGCCTGAGATGGCACATTTTGTAATGACTAAATGGGTTTCATCACTGAATTTGCATTCTGGCCTTTCCAGAGTACAAATTCAATTTGAATGAGGGGATACACTAATACCCACATGGCCAACCAACAGTTCTTGCCAAGACTGAGATGCCAGTACCTTACCCTTCTCAAGTAGGTCTTTCTCTTTCAGTCGAGGTAAAATAAACGGCAATAAGCAAGATGGGTAGACCAGCCCCATGAGTGCATCCCTAACATTAAGGGAATCCAGGATTATACTGAATGAAACAGGATTCCCAGTACATAGGTGAAGCTTTCTTGCAGCATCTTTCCCTAGCCAAGAACTGTGAATCATGACAGATGGGTCCAAGCAGGACTTCCAGATAGGAATGGCATTCAGATCTTGATGTGACGGTGACGTATCCTTTTTTCTTTTTTCACGTTTGCTGACCAACTACGTTTGCATACTTGCACCAGTCCACCATAGGCTGGGTCCTCCGAGCATTCAAATGTATTGGAAACGTACAAGGGTTGTGAGTTTTGTGGATGAGTTAAGCACAGGTTGAAGTTCATGCATAAGGGCAAAATGTCATTGCTCGAGATGCTAAATATAGCCCAAGCCTCCCAACCTACTCTTGACAATCGTTCTTTCGTGCGCTAGTGATTGGCAAAGCCTGATTTGAGACTATCAGAGCTTTCGAGAGAAGCGTGGCGAAGGGGCAATGTAACTTACTTTTCCCTCCTTCGCCGGGGTGGATGGGTTCTTCACAGGAATCTTGAAGACTTTTTGCGTCCTCCTTATCTCGTTCCAGGCCAACGTCGGCTTGCAACTCAAAGGATGGACTCTGCTGTGAGCTGCCATGCCAGTCCTCGCGCTCTCGCCCTCATAGGCGCATTTCTCCGCCGTCTTTTCCAACAGTCCTTTTCCACCATCGACGCATGCGCCTTTCCTCGATCTCGTGACCCATTCACGCATGCGAGTAACGTCTTCTGGACGCTCCCACCTCACAAAAGCGTCCATGCCAACTGTCATTTTGCAATCTATGAGGCCCTTGCCTGGGATGCCTTTCAATGTGAAGGTCATCGATTTGGGCTCGTTTCGACTTGGACTCGAGCCGACTCAAGTTAATGAACCGTGTTAGGATTTCCGGTGCTTACAGAGGATTCAAAAGGTGCTGAGAATTTATTTTTACACCTGTTCAAAGTCGCACCCTCGTCAACCTTGCCCCCCCCGCCTTCCAAATCATGCAAATGGAGCCTGGGGCCTTTTACGACCGGCATTTTTAGCTGACGTGCGAAGAACCTTGAAGTCTCGTTTTTTTTTTCCCATCAACTAATTAATTTGACGCCTCCGCGCTTGCAATTTCCACCCGTGAATTTATGGATTGTATTTACGGATGCCAGGAAAAGATACAAAAGAAATTGCACCGCGTCATCTTATGTCGGTTGGGACAGGACAAGAAAGCCCGAATGACATCAAGAAATTCTCATTTCCTCTCGTTCAGTTCTTTTTTTCACAATCCGGCGGGAACATCAGATTTTGAATTATTCGTGAACTTGGCAATCGAGGACAAATGGTGGGTCGTGGAAAACGGCGGACGTGTGAGAATGAATCCTTCGCTAGAATTCAGATAGCCAACGTGTTGGGAATCTTGGGATTCTCCGTGAACATTTTTATTTTAAGAGGCGGTTGAACGAGTTCCTTGTCGTTATCATGCGGTTTGAGGCGGTACAGCTATTATCTGCGATACGATAATACAGGTTTCCAGGCCACCAGGTGCAAAAAGCTCAAGGCCCACGTAATTTCATCAACAGTGTTTTCCTCTTGAGTCATAATTTTTCACTTGTTCATGGGATGTTCCTTACGCTCGGGAGTCAAGTGAAAAGCGTTGTACGACCCAAGTATCCTCTTACCTTTGAGAGACTCAATTTGGGCCCTCCGGCGATATGTTAGCCAGGCATTTATTACTGAGGTTCTTCGACGCCCCACGTCTAGATAGGGAATCTATCCAAGGCTTCCGAAACACGGTTTCACCTCGGCAATAAACACCGAACTTGTTTGGAGCCGAATCCCGCGGCCAGTCAAGCCTGCTCCCAGCCCAGCCACTCACCTGTTCTGCCTCAGCAACCCTGCATCTGATTTCATTTATGTTGAGACAATACCATGCTGAGAATCTGCATAATTTTCAGTCGGTTCAACTCATCTTCAAGGAAGCGGCTATTTACAAGTAAATACCCACGAAGAAGATGATATTGAAAATGTTTTGTTCCATTGAAGGAATTTCTCGGGAATACCCGGCTGCATGACGAAGAGCGCAGCATCCAACCTTCCGGCAACCCTGCCCGAATTCAAACCAAACGGATCCGGCCCAGCGAGCCGGGGGTTGTGAAGCGCGTCTATCGAGTTCCCTTGCTTGATACGAGTTTTCCTCATAATTTTCGCTAAATGTGCAAGCTTCATTTCATGTATTGTGTATTTGAAAGTTAAATCTGGATAAGATAGGTTAGGTGTAGTCATTGTTTTTGATGTGATTGTGCCTGAAGTGATTATACAGGCTCTAGGCCTAGCCGTACCACGGATCTAACGATAGGCTTAGGCCTGCCCATTGTGCTGACAAGGGGCCGCTTTCCGAATCTGGCTTTTGAGCGCAGGTATTACACTTGCAAGATTTATTTGGGAGCTGAGTTGTTTGTGTAGTGCTATGGATAGGACAGAATGGATGCCCAGTATGAAATTGTTTACGGAGACTCCCATGGCAATGCCGCTCGTATTCGTTGAGTAGCTATCAGTTAAAGTCTGTGGGGACTTCCGATTGACTTTTCCTCTAAATTTGTGCCGCTAACAGATATCAGCACTTAGCACATAGCCTTTGACATGTTTTGTATTTTTTTATATTTAAATTATGTATTATATTCAAGGCTACCATGGATCCAGTTTCATACAGGAATGTTATGTACAGCATAGCTACCATTCTATTCATATACCCAGTGTACTTCCATATTCCATATTTGAGCACGAGAGCTTGCAGACTATGGCTTGGACATCAATACTGAACATAGTGGGTTTGATCCCTGCCCCAACCCTTTTCTTTACTTCCACTGAGTTTAAAACAATGCCCACTGGTTTTATTTCAAAAGGGGCTCCGAAAACACAAGGAATGGGGAAGTTTACCCTCAATATAGCCAATTTAAAAAAAAATGTATAACATTAAGGAAGAAAAGAACACGGCATGAAATGTCACTTGCATATTTGGAACTTTGGCTTAGGCTTCATGGTTTTTTTTTTTTCAAACTGTTACCATTTTTATTCATCATGGATTTTATAGCAGTTCATTCAATTCAATTTTTGCATTCACTTATTCATGAGAAACAAAGTTTATATTATTAGTTTGCAAGGTAATGATTTGACAGAGGAACTGAGACCCATGGCCTTGAGAAGTCTTGATGGTGGCTGAATAGACAGAAATCTTAAGAAAAATACCATGACTTTTGGGCAGTCAATAAGGCCTGAATCATCAGTGTGACAGTTTTCAAAGTTTATAGATATGAATGGGCTTTGGAATCCTTGGGGTCCTGAGTCCTAAGGTCTTGTGTCTTCAACACTTCAAGTCAAAGAGCAAACTTTTTTTTCAATTTCAGAATTTTATCTGTGATCTCATGTTTTTTTTGTTGCATTCTTTCAATTTAGTCCTAGAGGCATTTAACTCAGTCATTATTTATTGTAATTTAAATAGCTTATTTACATTTAGCTAGACAGATGGACCAGACCTTACAGAAATGGTACCACAAGATATGAAGTGATACTTTTATCTGGGATTATGCTTTGTTATTTGATAAAAGATAAACTGGATGACATAAAATTGTTGCTTGAACCCTACATCCTTATCAATTGGAGGCTTAAACCATAACATATGTAAAAGTGCTGAGGACATTGCCTCAGTAAGTTAATCTGTTTTTATTTACCCTTTCACTCAAAAGCTGCTACAAAACTTGGATATTGTTTTAACCCCTCTCTCTTCCATTATTCCCCATAATCATTAGTAACCTCCCTCCTGAATGAGTCAGGCCTGAACGAGTAAGTTATTATCTGTGCCAATCAGGAGTACACTTCCTTAAAGCTCCATTGCTACATGGTAACCTTCATGCTTCAGATGTTTTAGCTTGTTGGCTGTGGATCAATGTGAATTGTCTTGAATGTGCACTTTACCAGCTCTAATATTTGTGGGCATGCATTTGACTGTCCTATGAGGAGTAAAAGAAATGTTTAGAATTCTGACAGCAGTAATGGCTCTGAAGTGCTTGGAAGGAGAATACCATTGAATACATGCAGGGATGTGTGCCTCCCCTAAGTGATGAAGCAGGGACTAGGGAAATATATTTTATTGCATTGAGTGTGCATGGGGATGGTCTATGAGTACAAAACCAGAAAGAGTGTGTGATAAGACTGCAAATTGAAGTGGATGGGACTTAACATCTGCTCCCATGCTCATAGGACCATCCTGTTTGCAACTGATAGGAAAAATTATATTAGACATTCAATTTCTGTGTTGTTGAGTGTTCACAATGATCTACTTCCCAAAACTATTTGATGACATATGTTCATTTTCACTTGGAAAGCTCTGGAATTTTAGTGACACTTGAGAGGCTTGAATTATTCTGATTCAAATAGAGTGTGAAACTGATAGCCTACATGTCATAATTTAGGCACAGCTCAGTTATAAGAATTAATTTAGACCATAGCTTTTGATGTTTTGTGTTTGGATTCAGTAATATCTAGTATCATTTCAAATTCAGTGTTGGGAACAGACAAGCCTCATGAAGTCTACCCTTAGCATATCCTTTGGTCTGTATTGAGACTGTTGGTCTAGATTGTTAATGATGAACTTTCTTTCTTTTTTTTCAGAGTGACAGCAAATATGTAAATCTGTGGGAGAGTCATGCCAGTTTTTAAATGGGCTGTTGCAGCCAGGTTTGCCATGGTATGAGGCAAATAAATTAATGTCAAATTGTGATTGCCCCAACCTGCCCTAGCTTCCAGGAACCATGTTCCGAAGACGCAGAAGTGGAGCCTTCGGAACTCCAAAACGCAAAAACCACATGAGCACCCTGGGCCATCGTCCAGGGGCTAGTAGAAATCAGACTCTTCGAGGACGACTTGGAATACATAATGCACATGCTAAACATCCTGTTGCTGATTCAACCACGAGTGATTCCAACATGCGAGTGGTTGTACGCGTGAGACCAGAGAATGAACGAGAATTAATGGATGCCAGATGCAAGTAAGTGCAGTTGGTTCTTTTTGTTCTGCATGGGACATCACTCTTGATGAATTGAAATAATGTTCTTGTATTTCTTATTCTTTTCATTTAGGAATGTGGTGAAAGTGCTGGATGAGAAAGTCCTCGTGTTTGATCCGGACAATCCAGACTGTGATGATGTCTTTGCAGCCTCACAGATGCGAAAGCCTACCTTTCGTGACATGCTGAAGAAACAGAAAAAGAATGCTATGTACATGTTCGACCGGGTGTATGGACCAGAAGCTGATAACATGGAAGTTTTCAAGGGCACAACATTTGAACTCATTGACTCCGTCATGGAAGGATACAACTGCTCAGGTAGGCAATTGAGCAGAGTGTAAGGTTCCTCTCCGTGCTCCTTCCTTTTCAAATCCTAATATGCCTTCTCTCTGATGAATGAATGCAGTAGGAGAGCCCTCCTCACTTAGTACTTAATTCATATGATAATGCTTGAAGTAGCTCTGTCAATATGCAGGGTGGGCCAAAAAGAAAACAAAGCTATAATTTTTGGTGAGTTGTTAATCTGATTGTAGGCTGCTGATTCTGATGAAATTTGGCAGTCACATAGGGTGACTTAATTAGGGTTTGTATGCTGAGTTTCAAATCAAATTTTCAAAACCAGAGATTGGCATTTAATTTACTTTTCATCACTGAAAAAGTAAGTGTTCATTTTTTATTTCTACGTAAAATTTCTCACAGCTGACAAAAACAAGCAAGAAAATAAAAAGAACAAAAAACTAAAGGCATAAAATGCCAAAAGCTAAAGAAACAATTTGGTTTCGATTGGTTTACTTCAACTGAAAAGGTACTCAATGTGCCCTCCATTCTGTTGAACATAAGCCTGTTGTCTGAGATGCCAAAGGTCAATAAATCTTAGAGGCAGTGCCTCCGAATTTTCCTCTATAGCATCATGCAGGGATGGAATGTCCTGCATTCCTTCTGTTCACCCAAGTCTCAAATTCATATCAATATTTTCAACAGCCCTTTTTGTTGTGGGTTATCATAAAATAATTGCAGCTCCTATAATTTTAGGGCCAGAAGACTTAAATTCTGTGTAAATATTCCTATTGCATCACCATATAAGCCTACTAAATTGAATAGGAATTGGCAGCCTACAATGATATTGCTAACTCATCAAAAATGACAGCTTGTTTTGTTTGTTTTTTTGGCCCACCCTGTATAAATGGCATATTACAGAGTCCTTATTGAGTACAAGCTTTTTTTTTAATGAGAAAAATCCATCCACCATTTTATTATTTCATGTGATTCAGGGACCACCAACGCATATTCACATGGGAAGGATTTTTTGTTGATGTTGATGCACTGAAAATAAACATTCCTTAGTTCAAAAGTACAGTAACCTATGCCCATGTAAATATATATATTTTTTCTTTTTCAAATGAACAATAAAATTAGGTATTCACTTGAAGGAATCTTCTTAGTGTCTAATTACATTTGAAGTAAGAGTTATATTGCAACTCAACATGAATTTGAAGAATGGTATGGATAAAAAAAAAAAGCAGTTCCACATATATTGACCATCAAGCCCCTGTGAGACAAATTTTGCTAAACTGACAGTATGAAAAAGCAAATGGCGTGCAATGACTAGGAAATGGATTTTCATCATATTCTTTAGTGAAACATTGACCATGAAACATTACATTGACATGATAGAGAAATTTTTTGCTCCTGTGAATATGAGCCTACCTGGTCTCAATGGGTTATTGCCATAGCTCAGGCAGCAATGGCATTGATGCCTCATTTCAGCTGGATTATGGCCACCCAATATAATCCCAGACTTTATCCTGTGGGCCTTGTTGAAAAATTCAGTGCATGCAAATAATCCTCATGGTCTGAAACAATTGCAACAAAACATTCAGCAAACTGTTGGGCCTATTGATCATGCAGTAGTGATCAGCATGTTTTGTCTCCATACCTCCAAATTTATGTTGGGTTGCAGTATAACTCTAACTTTGTATATAACTAGACACTAAGAAGATTCTTTTTTCAAGTGAATATTTCATTTCAACCATTTTTCACCTGAAAAAGAATTTAAAATTTACATGGCCATGGGTTGTGGCTCTTTTCAAACACCCTGTACAAGAGAACTTAATCCATCAGTTTTTATTTATTTTTTCTTTTTCACCAATCTAAAGGCTAAATCTTGGTGTTTTGCAGTATTTGCATATGGTGCAACTGGATCTGGGAAGACATTCACCATGTTGGGGTCTGAGAACTGCCCTGGAATTGCATATTATACAGCCAAGGAACTTTTCAGGAGAGTGGAAGAAGTGAGAGATAAGCTCACATGTGACATAGAAGTGTCCTATCTAGAGGTAACCTTCCTCATTTCCCTTAATCTCTATTGTTGTCTCTTATTTAAAAGACTTATGCACATCATCTCTTTCTTGTTTTTTAGATCTACAATGAAAATATATATGACCTCTTACAAAAGAAATCTGGGGTGCTTCAAATTCGTGACTCTGGGAAAGATCGTTTTGTGATCAGTTCTCTTAGCTGTCATAAGCCATCCAGTCCCGATGAGCTGTTGCAGATGCTACGGCAAGGAAATGCTTCAAGAACACAACATCCGACTGATATGAATGCTGAAAGTTCTCGATCCCATGCTGTGTTTCTCGTGAGCTTCACTTTGTTTGTGTGTCTCTCTCTCACATGCAAATTTGATTTCTGAGTCTCAAACTCTGGCTTTTTTTTTCTCAGATCTACATCAAGCAGCGAGAACTGACTTCCAGTGCCTCCAGTGATTTGAAGGTTGGGATGATGGCTTTGATAGATTTGGCTGGTTCTGAGAAGGGATCAGCAACCGGGTATGGAAATGCTCGATTCCGAGAGGGCTCCAACATCAATAAATCCTTACTGGCATTAGGTATGTTTAGCCCTGATTCCATTTCCCCAATAATCTGTTCCTGGACTCCCATATGCATTTCTTATGTTGCTGATTTTGAACAAAATCAGTAACTTATTAAATATTTACTATTTACAGCCCATGTATATTTGAGTTTTACTTATTTCCTTGATTCTGTGTAGGGAATTGCATCAATGCCCTCGCTGATGGCCTTTCACATGTGCCATACCGGAATTCCAAGTTGACCCGTATCCTGAAGGACGCCATTGGAGGAAACTGTCGCAGTGTGATGGTAGCCAATGTCTCTCCATCGAGTGCCCAGTATGAGGATTCCCACAACACATTGAATTATGCCTTTCGGGCAAAAAATATCAAGACAACTGTGAGTTCACCTTTAATATCTGTTCTTTGGTATCCTTTTCTGAAAATGTACTTGACCAAGCCTAAATTCTAGGTGAGGAAGAACGTCGTGGCCATGGATGTGCACGTGGCCGAGTATGGACGAATAATTGATAGCCTGAACAAGGAGAATGCCACCCTTAGAGAGGAGAACAATACCCTCGCAGAGAAACTGCAAGCTGAATGGGAATTGAAGCTGCAGACTGAAAAAGACAACAGTGACAAATTGAAATCTGAATATGAGGTCCACTTGAAGACATGTCAAGAACTGCTGGAAGCTGAGAGGAAAAAGGTTGTGTCCCTGGAGGAAGCTCAGGCCAAATGGAAGGAAGAGAGTATCAAGATGGAGTTGCAGGTGGTCAGACTCCTGGAGAAGAATTCTGTCGGGATTCAACAGCAGGATGCACAAATGCAAACTGAGGAGCCTGTTGAGGAAATGGCCTTTGACAGGACTGTTGTGATTGAGTGTCCAACCATTGATATACCCCTGCCATCACCAAAACCTGGTATGTGATGATCAAATGTTGGCTGATTTGACATAATGATGTTTTCTTTTATACTATGGTTATTGTAATTTTCTTCTACAGAAATGAGGAGTTCAGAGGCACAGACTGACACTCCATTGCAGGAACCACCTTGCACCATGAAAGAAGCCTCTCCCTGTGATGCCTTGCAGGAAGCCATGAAGCTGATATTGGAAGAACACTATGAACATCTTAGTGTGTTCAGGGATGCCAAGGCTGAGTCCTGCATGCTCCAAAATAAGCTTGCCAATGAAGAGGCGAAGCTGAAGCGTCTGACAGCCATTGAAGTACAGCCCTTCCGGCTGGAAAAAGTATGACTTTTCTTATTGAGCTTGATGGGGCTCTGCACAGAATCTAACATGCATTTCATTCCTTCACAGAGGGCTGCTAAGGTCACCCGAACCCTCGATACCTTGCGTGAGAAGATAAACAGAAACGAACTGAAGTTTTTGCAGGCCAAGTCTTCATTAGAATCCAGTCAGACAAAGTACGAACAGCTAATAAGTCGCATCGATGATCATCTACATGAATTGACTCATGCTCCTTCGTGCATTCTTAAACTGTTCAAGGTATGGCTTCCAAACGTTGATCATATAGTTCCCAATTATGTTGTTGTCAAATTCTTAAAGGGAGATTTAATTCAGACCCTAGACAAGCAAGAGGATGAAGAGAAGAAGAGAGAAGATCTGCTGAAGGAATTGAAGGAAGGCTGGGAAGCAGACCAGATATTGATTGAGGAGAGCCTCTCCCTCCTAAAGTATTATTTTCTACTTCTCAAAGGTTTGGACAGGACAACAGAGAAGGAGATGCAAGCCTTTGATGTGAGTAGCTCTCTCTTTTCCAGAAATATTAGTCCCATTTCTCTATTTTAATTTTGACGCTTTTTAATCCATAGCGGCTTGTGGCCATGGTGGAAGGAGAGCCCCCACGCGTCCATTGGGCTGCAGGGGAAGAGATGGTGATCTGGGAAGAGCCAAACAATCCTGAAGCTACATTTGTTACAGAGCCAATATCAACTGTTCACCAGGCCAGCACTCCATTACATCTCTCACATCCCCCAGATCTATCATCACATTTCCCAACTCCTCAACATAATTCCACCTTTGTCTGTGAGTGATTTTTGGCTGTAATCTCATTATTTTCACATTTCTTCTTGGAAACAATCTTGGAATGTTCACTACTGAAGTTCTTAAACATTCAAAGACCAAATTCAGTAATGCTATCATAACTAAGTGTTGAATGTGTCTCCCAGTCACTTGAAGGTGTTAGTCTCTGAATCTTTATCTACTGCAACAGATCACCAACTTCATGGTTGATTCACTTCTGAGCAGCAGGAGCTTGTCATAGGTTCTGTATGTTGTGCTGTTTATTAGTCCAGCTCTTGTAGATGAATTGGGCAAACTTCATCATGACTGCAGACTGATGTGCTCTCTATTTTTTGCAGTTGATCGTTTGAGCATTGGAGGAGGTTCTGCAACTCGACGGAACGCCTGGAACGGGCGCGGGAACGTCGTCGAGATCGGCCGGCCTTCCGTCGGTGCGCGTCGGAAGCTCCCGACGCCTGTATCGTATGGGAAGCGGGCAAAAGATGGGCGACCTGGATCTGTACAGGTGCAAGTGCCAAGACCCAGGGCCCTGGGACCTGCAAACCCTTTCAAAGGTCTCTTCATTTTTCCTTCTGATTCTCTTTTATTTTTAGGTGTGCTGGTTGTTTTTTTTTTCCACGAAATGATGCTTTTTGGTTGGGGTATAACCAAAACTTTGCATCAGACTTTTGAAATGTTCTTCATTTTAGTCTAATTTCAATCAGAATGGTGTCATTTTGAATCTGAAAAAGCTTTTTAATCTCAAAATCGCTTTCTGCCTTGGTCAAAAGAAAAAAATACAGGACACGGAGAAGCACCATGCTACTTTCCATTTAGCTTTGTCATTCAGTTATTTCGGTCTTCATAGGTTTGCATAGCTTGCATGTATATTAGAGTCTAATACGATGAGATAGTTTACCTGAAAGTTAGGCACATCGCTCATTGAACTAGCCTGTTGAATTTAGAACCTTTAGAACCTTCTTCTGATGGAAGGGACATGGAATCGAAATGACTCAAATGAAAGCAGGTTCCATTTATTATCACTCACAATTGAAAGAAACATGATTCCCATTCGATCCTGACCTCATCCGTTGACATCTCGTTTCCAGGTACAAATCACTTGCAGAAAGAGAACCGCACCCCCTGGAAGAAGAGAGAAGAAAAGTGACTGGGTTCCTGTGATATCTTGATGGACTGTGCGTCTTTACTCCTCTTTCTCTCCTCGCCCCTCTTCCTGTACAGATCGTTAGGTTTACTCGAGAGAAGTATTTGTAGCGTCGACCGTGTTCTTAGTGCGCATTATTTCATCTGGTGGTTGTTGCTTGGTTGATGTCCTGCGGCGAAAAGCCGACGGTTCAGCTTTCCACAGATCTCGTGTGTACAAAAGCAAACAAAAAAAGGAAAAATGAAACTTTTTTCTGGCGACCCCACGAAATGTCCCACGCTTCCCTCTGTCGTCGTCTCTTCACTAACACCCGAGTTCTGCACCGTGACCCCTTCCCCCCCCACCCCCTTGGATCGGGCGTGATCACTCGAGATGCTGTAATGTGTGAGGCAATTGGGTTTTATGATTTTTTTATATGCTAAAATTGTGAACTCTCTTCTCCACGACCAGTGCGCACGAGCTCATGTGGCTTGAACCTTTCTTTCGAATCCGTTTCCTTGACAGATCCAGCTTCCAGAGTCCTTTCGCTGTATATATATGGTCTGATGGACTACAGTCGTGAATAAAGAATTTTTTTCTATACAGGCTCTTCTTCGCGGCGGAGGAAGTTCAATGTCCGGAATCGTGTGTCTCGTTTCGATGAGGGGCTGGACAGTTATCCGCATTTATTGCAATGACGCTGCATCGTCAGGTAAATTCGTAATCGAGAGAATCAGAGGGCCATATCTGTTTCCCACGCCATTTACGAGTGGATGCGACCGGAGGAGATTCCTCTAATTGCGCGTTCGTAAATAATACGCGGTCGAAGGTGGTTTTTCGCCCCGCACCACCTTCAAACGGCCTGCGTTCCCTCACCTCCAGAGAAAAGATCGCAAAAAAAATTCTCCTAGAATAAACGGTACTCAGTACTTAATTAAATTTCGCTGAAATCGTGAGACATTCCCAAGCCCAGCCCACGCACGATTCGCGGAGCTTCTGTCCTCAATTTCAATACTGGAGCATGCAGTTACCCCAAGCCATATGGTAAGTGCTTGAGTAACTCATCCCTCCCTAACTCGTCCAATGAAGACGCACGAAAAAAAAAAAAAAACCGCGGCCTTAATTGGCCTTCGGCCGTCTGCCTCTCGGCATCACAAATAATTCCATTCCATTCTTTCCCGCGCGATAATACATAACTGATTGATCTCTCCAGGAAAAATGATTCCAACCATTAAAAAAAAAACGTGGATGACTCTCAGATTCGAACACAATCGGAATTTCACGCTCGAGCGCCCCCAGGCCCCGAAAGCATTCCATCGACCCGACAATTTTTCGGGAATGGAAAAAATGTTGAGCGAAAAATAATTTGTCTTTTCGAATTTTTAAAGATATATCCCTCGTTTTATTTAAATATTTAAATGTCTATTTTTGTGCAAAAAAATGTATCATACCGAGTGGCCCAAACAAAAAAAAAGACTTCTTGACGGCGTATTAAATATCGATATTTTCAGCGTATCAAATATCGTCTCGAAATTTTCAGCGAAGTTCCCCGCTCTGATCACGAGTCGTCAAATGTCGTCAAATGTCGTCAAACGTCGTCAGTGCGTTTTCCGGTGGGCGACCGTCGGAGAAAAATTTCCGCTCGCGTGGTTTAATTCCTGTTTCGATGAAAGTTTTGCAACATCGCCTGCAAATATCGCGCGTAAAACCCTGCAAATTTTCTGCCAATAACTCGTATTGGCACTTTTTTTTTTTGGACCACCCGATACGCATAAATTCATTTGCATGTTGTGAACTTCGCGGTTTAATCGGAATCGTTCAGCCGTGACGAAAGCGTACCGACAGGAAAGGAGTGGAATTGTAGTTATCCACTTAGCATATTTTAATCCGTGGTAATCAGTCGTAAAAAAATATAAAAAATCAAAACAATGCTCTCGTCAAATCCTTTTTTTTTATCGTGTTAGGAAAATGTCTGGCGATGGTTTTATGTGTAGAAGGATAAAAATGTGATATTACCATGCTAAATATCGAGGGTTGTTAAACTTTTTCTGAGTGGTATATTTATATATATGTATTTATATATTACATCAGTAAAGAACGTAGATATAAAAAGTAGTTGGCCAAATTAGCAATTACCCGAATGGGCAGTGAAACTCATTCAAGGTGTGCCTATAGATTGAATAGAAGAAAACTGCGATGAAGACTGCAATGTCCCTCCCAGCCAAAGCCACCCCGCGGCAACAGGCAGGCAGAAGAGGGCAGAAAACCACTGAATCCTGAAACCATGGAATCCTGTTAGATTGAATAGAAGAAAACTGCGATGTTCCTCCCAGCCAAAGCCACCCCACGGCAACAGGCAGGAAATGTCCGGCCCAGAAGAGGGCAGAAAACCATTGAATCCTGAAACCATGGAATCCTGTATTTATATATTTATATATATATATATATTTTTTTTTACTGTTCTTTTCGGATTTGAACCACCCGACAGCTGCATGCAGCAGGATTCATTGAGAATAACGCACACTCATCCCAACATTCAGAGAAAGTGACGTACTAATTAATTAATTAATTACTGATTGCGTAGATACAAAAGTTTACAATGCTAATCCCCCCCCGCATGAACGGGCTGGACAGCTACCACGCCTCCACCCGGCACGCCAAAGCGGTCCTTAGGTGCATCACCCTTCGTGGGTTCACGGTCCCAAGGGGACCTGCAGGTGGGACAGTCCCGCTTCAAATGCTTCACCAACCCCTCCCCCCTCCCCCCTCCCCCCCCCCCCTGCAATGACGTCATGAAGGTCTTCCTCCCCCTTGGGGTCTGAAACGGTCACAAGAGATGCCCCGCTGACCGGGAGGAGATAATGTATGGATGGATGGATAGAGGAGGGGAGTGAGGGATGAATGGATGGATGGATGTGATCCTCCTGGCCTACCATGGATGTTCGCTCCGGCAAGCAACCTATAATGCATGCAGGAATGACGGGGAGTGGGCGATTTGCACCCGCATTAATGGCGTGTTCCCGTCGTGGGGGCTCCGTTCTCCGTTCCGGATCGTCCCGTACGAGGCGTTGCCCCCTCATTAGATCGAATTTAACCGCTTTTTCCGCTAATTTTTAACTGAAGGGTCTTTGACAGGTTGAGAGAGGGGAGAAAACCTTTTTTTATATCTCAGTTTCACAGTCCTGATTTTATCTGAGGTGAAAATTTTTGGAAGGGGTCACGACGACCGGCAGAGAGGGTTTCTCTCCGATCCATCCACGCGTTCTTGGGGTGCTCGGTGACCTTGACCTTCGTGACCTTTGACCCGGCCTTCGGGTCGCGCCTGACCATCCACCTGTGACGCGTCACGTAAAACGTCACACCGTGTCACACGTCACAAACACCGTAAGAGATCACGCGCCGGACGAGAGCAGAAATCGGTGAGGCCGACGTCGGCAACGAGGCCAACGTCGGCATCGAGGCCATCGCCGTGGAAAAGACCAGAAAAAAGGCACGCCGACACAAAAGAACACTCCGAGTACTAAGGAGTTCCTTTGTGCGGCGAGAAAAGAGGCAATCGAGGCTGACGACTCATTCCAAATGCATAATGAATGCAAACGGTATCCCCAATTGTCCTGGCAATCATCTCGCATCGCGGGCAATCATCTCGCATCTGGCCCGGGGAAGAGACGGGCAACGTCGCCGCGGACGATTTCTCACGAGGGGGCGTGAGGAAGCGTGAGGGAACGCGAGGAGGCGTGAGGCTGCTTCGTGTTATCTTGCCAGAATATTTAATTTTTTTTAAAATAAATTATTTAATTTTTTTAAATAAATTATTCTGCATGTTTACTTTCTTCTAAATATTTAAATTTTGCTCTTCCCCGATTCTGAATTATGCAAATGGGTTATTGGAACGGCGAACAAATGTCGCGACGTCGCTTCCTCAAGGTACGAGAGAAAAAAAAAAAAAAGCGTAGTCACTCGAGGGAGTATTTCCCCGACGCGGAGGCACCCGCGAAGCAGGCGACCACCCGCACGAGGCCCTCCGCTCTCGCTCGGGCAAAGAAACAACGCGATTATCGGAGGAACCGAACCGCGTGCGGGGGGGGGAGGGGGGGCGGGGGCGGGGGCAGGGGGGCTGGGGGGGGGGGGGAGGAATCCCCCGGAACGGAACGGGAAAACCGCCCTTCATCACTTCCGGACTCTCCAAAAAGAAGATATTTACCGCCTGAGATCGGCCATGCAGCGCATCGCGCCACGGAATCATCTCCGTCGACACGGAATCATCCCAGCCGACACGGAATCATCCCAGCCGACACGGAACTACCCCAGCCGACACGGAATCATCTCCGCCGACATGGAGTTATCTCCGTCGACACGGAATGATCCCTCATCGATGAAGAATGATCCCCGTCAAGAATAAGAATTGTCAACATCTGCCGCCATCCAGCACCGTTCCTGCCTCCCTCCCAGCCTCCCTCCCTGCCTCCCTCCAAAAAATGAAGACCCGTTCCGCCACCGATCATCAATTACGCATCCGAACCAGAAATTACGTGAGAAAATTTCCCATCCCCGATTTGCATCCCGCGAAGGATCGCGCATCCCCCGCTCCACTGACCGTGAAGGCGCGCGGGCACCGTTAGCCATATCCAGCCCCGGCCATATCCAGCCCCGGCCATATCCAGCTCCGGCCGTGCCCAGCTCGCCTGCAGTGGTCTCTCCGCCTTCTTCCGTGCCGACATGTGAGAAGAGAAGCATCCTGTCATCGTCTCTCCATGGTGAGTCTTCCGCCTTCTTACCGCCTTCTTTCCGCCTTCTTACCGCCTTCTTACCGCCTTCTTTCCTTCCGGGTGGAAATTTTTCTCTATCAAACCGATACGAGCCAATTTTACTTTTGCTATTCGGCGAGTCACCGCGAGGCCGTCTCGACAGGAACGGAAATTCTACAACTTCTCTGAACATCGGCGAAATTCATCGACGGAATTCATCGGCGAGATTCATCGGCGGGATTCATCGGCGAGATTCATCGGCGGACCGTTTTGCCGGTCGAAGTAAACAAAAAAAAAAATTATTATAAATAAGGCGATGAAAGAATTTATTTTTGCCGAGCTGGGGGTCATCGTGGGATCGGTGATCCGTGAATCCGTTCGGCCGTTTTTCAGGGCCAGTTACGGCCATTTTTCAGGGCCAGCTCGGGCCATTTTTCAGGGCCAGCTCGGGCCATTTTTCGCCGGCCTCATTGCGATTCACGGGAGATTCAAACCGTTTTCGGCCATTTTCCGTTCTTTCGTGAAGAGAGGGAAGCAAAAAGGGAGAGAGGGGGAAAAAAAAAGGGAGAGAGGGGAGTGAAAAGGGAGAGAAGGGAATGAAAAGGGAGAGAAGAA